CACGAGGTTCGGCGGCGTGTCGTCGTCACCGTCCGTGCCGTTGAATATTTTATGCTTAATCCCCGGACCGCATTTGTCAAAAATGCCCCTTCTGCTTCTCGAGGCGGCGAGGCGAACCTCTCCGTGAAATTCGAAATGATCGAACGGTTCGTTTCGGAAGTGACGCGGTGTGTATTTGGTCTTTTGATGTGGCTTGGTTTTTTAATTATGCATTTGATCGATGCGACACGCGCGGCGGCGGCGGTGCGGCGGAGAGTCGACGACGACCGTGCGAAACATCCAAAAATTTTTAACAGACGATCGCCAAAGACAATAAATAATAACATAACCGAAAAAAAAAATCCGTATACAGATCGGTCTCCCCGTGGGATTCGCTCGGTTTACATCATTGGCCGCGTTCGCAGGACGGCGGGTCGATCTATATATTATATTGTTATATGCTGTATTTGGATTACCGTTCCACCGTGGCGTGCTGTAGACGTATATAAACTAAATACATGTTTACATGATATAATAATATAACAGATATACATTGTACACCTATATATAGGCATATTATTCCGGTGTGATCTCGAGCAGAAACTATGGATCGACGAAGACATTCTGTTTATGATATACCTATAATATTATATTTATTTACGCGGCGTGTATAACAAGCACTATATACAAATATAAGTGTATATAATACATACGAGTAGTACCTACGTTTGTAGATCTCTGCAGAGTAGTCGGCGGACCGTTTGTCCACGGATTATAAGGGATAGGTACCAGCATTACCAGCTCATATACACGTATAGATACGAGCTGCTCCAAGTGCCTACCCCATAACAACTATATTTAGGTCCACCGGGCAGGTGGTCGTAAGATATGGAGAGCTCACACTTGTGAGTTGTAACGATTTTCTTTTTATATTATAATAATATATAATATTTCACTGGTGTCGATAGAATTCTGAAGTGTAGGTATAATAATAATATTATAATGTTCGGTGTATACTGCAACCGTGGTGGTCACCATTTAGTTGTAATTTTAGTATACCTATCATATAATATAATATGACGTCGTACGTGTGGACGTATTATAAGCCTTCAGTTTAAAATATTATAATTTTGAAAAAGAAATATTATAATGTCACCGCTATACTCGTTTTTCTCCGACTCGCAGGAACGCTTATTAGAATATTGCAAAAATATGAAAACCACACAAACCCTTTCAGACGAGACGGGCTTGTATATATAAATCATCGTTTACCCGTGCACAAAAAGACGCGAAGCTTTCATCTGTGAAATTGAACCTTCGTTTTTACGTTTCAATCGCAGATGCTACTCATCGGCGAGTCATGATTCACTGTCAGTCGACGTAGTCTTCCTGGCTCAAAACCGCGTAACGGCGAGAGGGTGCAGTGATGGGGAGGTAAAAAAAAAAATAAACTTCCCCTGACCTCGGGACGATTTTTTTCTCTCCCGACGGTGTATATGGTATGCTAATATTCGACGGTGGCTGCTGCTGCAGCGCCGGCGGCGTGGTGTGCAGAAAAAGAGAGTGCAAATTAATTTCAATTTAAACGAGTCGAAATGTATACATAATATATTATACAATATATATAATATGTATATATGTGTGTGTGTGTGTGTGTATAAAGGGATCCCTGCAGTACTGCCGCCGTCACTTAAAGCCAAGAAACGGTTATACACACGCACAGAGCTATACAGAGTGTAATCAATCATCCCGCTTGCGCGAGTCCGTTCTCTCACTCTCATCGACTGTCAGCAGTGCACTGCACACACACACGTTCACATCGGTCCCTACGTACGGTGTATATATATATTGTGTACATGGTTATATTTTTTTATTGTTATATATACTCCGAAACCCGTGGCGGGAAGGATTTTAATTTTAGCATATATTGTTTCTTTTTGGTTCCAAGACAAACAAACGCACACACACTCGCACACTCGCCCGGTCTTAATTTCCATCCCGACCCCGCGGGTCGCCACCTCCCCCTACGGTGCCGGCGGAGGCTGCGACTACTACGACGACGACTCCGACGATGATGATGGATTGCACCCGGGTATATATATGACCGCTTTACATTGCCGCCACCCCCGGTGCTTTATCATTAGCGCCAGCACCCAAAACGGCTAATTTAAACCTAAGGTCTTTTTTGTTTTCTTTTTTCGCCTCCTGCACCTCTACCTCGTCCCCACCGTCACCACCGAATTATAATTACCGTCCGAAAAGGTTTTCACACTTCAAATGGCCGCCGCGACCAGAGTTTCCGACGTAGGTACCACCCACCGACCCCGGTATATATAACCTTAAACATATACCTACTCCGTACGCCCTTTCCCTCCCGACCGTTCGCCGTACTACATCCATCTCTCTCGAAATCCGCCAAACTTCGTCCAAAAATAAGCATACGCTGGTTTTTCTCTGTCTTTCATTCTCTCTCCTCCAGTCCACCTCAAGCTTTTGATAAATTATATTATCCCACGCGTCGCGTATAATCTGTCGTTTGTTTTTACGATAATCAATTATTGCATTATATATTCCTATTCCGTGTTTCAGCGGTGAGTGGTAGATTATACATACCAATATACGCAAGCAAAATGCGTAGCATCTGCATTTTCGACTTAACGACTCGCCTCCTTCCTTTTTTTATTATATATGTATAAGGTGTTTGGTACATTTACCGTTTTATTAATGGAAATTGTTCCGAAACGAAAACACTTTTTAATGGAAAAAAGCGTTATCCAATTTACATGTTGTCTTTATACGATAACAAACACACCGAGGGAGTCGTTTATTAACGTTTTTTTCCCGTACGCACGTGTATATATACCTACCTGGCTACCTATATAAGTAGGCACTATAACTCAAATCGAATTAACATTTTCCGGTATCAGAAATAAGCGAGATTTAATAATAAAAATTAAATGGAAAAAATGCCAAACTTCTAAAATGTAAGAAATTAAATAAATATTTTATTTTATAAAAGAACCTGCAGCCGTAAAAGCTGTATAAGAGTGATACGATTTCATGATTTCGAGTCGAGAATATAATAACAATGACGCGTTAATCACACGATGAACTTTAATGTAATATTATACTTTATTTTGTTAAATTTTTAGCTAAATGTTGTGTATAGTGTATCCGTCTTCGGCACCTCATACACCATAAAGTCAGCTGCAGTCACGCGAAAACGCATATTTTATTATTTTATTTGTCAATATTATTATTGTAATTACGTTGTATCTCGTTTCTTTTTTACGTTCTATCACTGACGGAACTGCAACAATACCTACTTGGTGCATTAAATTATTTGCGTGGCTGCTGACGATCGCGTGGGTATAATATATTATTATATACTACACAGTAGGGTAACCTATAACCGGGTAAACAGAGCCCGGCGCGTGAACACGTCGTTACGTAATAATAATAATGATAATAACAATAATATTCTCGTCGGTGAAAGCGATTAACTGCAGCGGGTGCGGTGCACTGCAACCATATATATATATTGTTATATACATATCGTTTAGAGATACACTATTCCATTATATACATAATATAATATGTACATATATATATAGGTGCATTAACACAAACTGCAGCGGTCCATCGACACGCGCGTGTACAAACAAGATTTGTAAATATATGTACAAAGCAGAACGGTTAATAGTAATAATAATATATGACAAATAGCGGCGGTTATTACGTCGACCGGTCGCCGGCGCGAGCGTATAAATCACGGGCGCATTCGTCGTGTGTCGGCGGCGTCGTCGTCGTTCAAGTAGCTTCGGCGAAAAGCCGAGTCTTATTAGTCAAAGTCCCGCGGGTAATTGAATGTGTGTGTATGTATATGTATTATTACGAGAGAGCCAGCCGACGAGGGACCCCGCTGAGAAAGGCCAATCAACATCTATAACAAAATATTATTATTATTATTATTATTATATAGGTACACATTGCGAGACCAATAATCATTATTACCGTTTGCCAGTTGTTTATTTATTATTATTATACATTTCGGGTTCTCGCGCGTGCGTACCTATATTGTATATATATATATTATATATATTCCACGTCGGTCCGTAAAGACAAAACCCATCAGTCACACACACCCGACGCAGAGACTATACCTACGTAACGAGTTTTGTATATTTAGTTACTCTGACCGAATGCCATTAGGAGTGTCCATTAATAATTATAAGTGGCGACCAGTAAGTCCGTTTCAATAATTATACATATGTATATTGTATATATTTTTATTTTGTTCCGAACGTATTTTGATTTTTGACCGCGTGTTCAAGTAGATTGTTTATAAGTTGTAACACTCAGGTGAACCTGCAGATCGAGCGTCTTCGAACAAACTAATTATTATTCCATATTTGTATACATAATAATATTATTATACTTCGTATATTATAATTATTATATTATATTAGTACTGATCGTTTTCTCTCGGCGCGTTCTGTATAGAACAACGTATTTGGTACGCTTTACCTATAAGTGTAGACCATATGGAATTGCAGCGTTTAATTTGATCAAGATTTTCAAAGAAAAAATCGTAGTTTATTCGATACGTACCGGTTTAATATTTCTGAGCGTCCAAGAAGTTACATAATATGCGGTTTATCAGCGAAAAGTACCGACACGTACTCAGACTTTGATACGAGTCGGTATGTAACTACTATCCGCATCGATAAGTATCGAATTTTTCTCCTTGAAAAGCTCGAATACTAATAATTATATACGATATTGTTGCGTAATCGGTATATTAAAACTTTTAATAAAATACGCTTACGGGTGGTTCTTTACTCTCGATCACCAGACGCCAACCCAGAGGTAAACCCTGTACTACTGTAACCTCACAATAATAACAAAATATATAACTGTACACGAATTATTATATTTTATGCGTATATTATCTGCAGCAGGGTGCATTCGCCCTTCACGACTGCGTAACACCATTTTAATATGAATGTATACCTTTGCAGATTCGCCCCGCATGGAAAAATCGCCGCTGCTGGCTAACGGATACAATCAGCCGCCCACACACCTCGGACACATGCAGTACATGCAGCAGTTCAGCCACCACCACCATCATCCGGCGGCCGCACACGCCATCATGAACCCGGCCGGTCTGTCGCACCCCGCGTTACCCCGTCCAGACGCGCAGCTACTTAAGAGCCAAGGACTCTCCATGGAAGCGTTGGCCAGGTGAGTGTCTGTTGGGTAACCCAGCCATCCCCCACCCGTGATCGCCGCCCACTTTACACCCCCCCCCCCCTAAGGGACAACTCTTTCGACCGGAAACCGTGTTTGTAGACCACTGATGTCTCTCTCACTCGCTCTCTCTCCCTCATCACTATCTATGTATAGCAAAGAACATGACACCTAAATTCACACCCATATCGTTATTGCTACTATTTAAGTTTTATCGATTGTAGACGAGTTCGACTGTACCTGTAATCCTTACAGTACCTATAATAATAACGCCTAACACTTATGATATTGAGCCACGTGAAGCGTAAAACAAACTGCAGCAGCAAGCCAGCAACTAATGCGGTGTTGTGCAGATGATGCAGTTCTATATCGATAATATTGCCATAATAGAGTCATCATCATAGTCCATAAGGAAATTATAATTTCTTGAAATAATTTGCTAATATTATAGATTAATAGAAACTGCATTTTTCTAAATCAAACCAGGTTTTAATGTTGATTTTTCATAATATAGTACATATAATCGTTTACCTGCCATTAATGGACTTGGAAACTAAATTAAAATTAATCAACTGCAGTTACAGTAAAAAAAAAAAAACATCTGTCAACGTTTCGAAAATATATTATATAGGTACTAATTAAAAAAAAAATGATTCGTTTTAACGTTTTAATTTTATCTTATACATTTTTTAATAGTGGTGAACTAATTTATTTAACTAAGCTTGAGTTTAGAATATTGCATACCTTTATTAGAATTCGAAATCGTATTTGTATTCATTTTCCGATTTGAAATGTGGAGAGCGAAACAGAGTTTATCACGGACCAGCTGTAAATAATATTGTACTGTTAATAAATTATTATTGTAATGCATATACACGTAGTGAACAGTGGTTTACTTTTTAATTGTTTATCACTATACGTCTTTAATACGTTTTTTTTTCCTTTTCGTTTTACAGTTCGGGTATATGGGAAAAAGCGTACGCCGGCTTCATGAAACAACTAGAAAGGTAAGAGAATAATAATAATAATCGCACACTGCGCGTGCAGTGTATTTAATATCATTATTGTTTATATCCACGACGCCTTCCCGTCCGGCGCGTCGCACTATTAAAATAACGACTTGTATATTATAATATTATTATTATTATTATATACGTGTATACCGTTTTCTGCAATATGCATGTATATAATGATATAATGTAATACACGATCGTTCGAGGGCGGCGGCGGCGGCGGAAGTTATGTTCCGTTCAATAATATACGACCCACCCAATGATATATACAGTATAATAATAATAATAATACCCTATGTGTATAGGTATATTTATTCGTTCGGCGCAATATCATCATCATCCCGAGAGCGACGATAATAATTATTGTTATTTTTCTTTTAATTTTTTTTCTCTCTTTCCGCGTCGTAATAATAATATCATTATTATTACCATATCGTATCTGTGCGCCGGACACACGTATATAAGTATCTAACATATATACAAATATAATAGACGGGCTGAAAAGGTCATCAGGACGTTGCACTAAAACTAGCTGCAATACCTCTCTATGTGCGCATAAAATAGAGAAATGATAACGGTGATGGTGTGTGCAGCTATATATGAAATTTACGACTCGAACACGACTGTGGCGTATTATATACGATATTATATTATATAAATATATAAATACCTTAATAATAATAAAAACGGTGCCGCCTGCACCGCTGCCCATCGCTTATGTCGGTCGCGGTAATAATTCTGATTTAAAAATTACTCGCAGATCCGTTAAAATAGTATAATATTTTAACTACAATCGTTTCACACAGCTCCGACTCTTCCGATATAATATCATATACCGACGACTTCGAATACCTACTTATTTATAAAACAATATAATTCGCAGATAGACATCACTAGAAAAATCGTTTTGAGGTTCTAAAATGTGTTGCTCAAAAGCTTTAAAGCGGCCATCTAAACAAATGATTCTTTATGCGATTATCTAAAAGTTACAATAGATTAAAACCCAATGGAAGGGAAGGCCGAGAGGGGATTGGAAAAATTACTTTAGAATTTTAATGTAATTTAAACTGTAATTTTTCTCAAACGTCGTCTTTGTTGTTCAATACAGTGGCGTCATTTCAGTTTATGAGATGGAGGAGGGGGCAAAATTTGTAACTGGACCATAATAAAACTGAAAAAAAAAACACCACTGGCCGACAATTTCATTACATTAAATTACAATTAAATTTGTATCTCAATACAAATAGCTTTCTTACATAAATGTATACTTTCTAGTTACTATTGTGGTTATCTGAGATAACCGTGGTCACTATCATAGACATAAAAAACCCATATTTTGAGAAATAACGATGAATAACTAAATAATTAATAATATATAGAGAGATACCTAAATATATTACCTATTAGCTACTATATGACGTAGGCCCAAAACTAGTCCATATCCGGCCCGACAGCGGCCCTCTCTTATAAAAAGGGGGCAAATGCCCACCCTGCCCCCCACAAAAAAATACCGCCACTGGTTCAATTGGAAATGGTTTTTAAAATACTAAAATTGTTTTTGGTGGGGTGGTATCCACTACCCCTCAATGAAGTCTACTACGATAATAATACTTGTAGTATATATGTACTGCACACAGACAGGACACCTGCGAATCTGCGAGTGTACCTGTATGGCACGCAGCAAGCCCTCGTGTGATACGACATAAATAAATATTATATTTCGTAAATAACGACGATGATAATAATAAATTGTTATTATTGTTTGCACCTCACTCGGTGGCGGCACTCGAAAATTTCTCATTGTCGGCAGCTGCGGCAGTAATAAGACGGAGGTCGTAAATTTCAATGAAACGCACGAAAGTTGTGTTATTTGTACTCGGTGCTGGTGGTGGCGACGACACAAAGGTATACGTATATGATATCCTCGCGTTATTATATGACTGGTGTACACACACAAAGACCGAGAGGAGAAAACGACGACCGGGCGCATGCTTAAATTGAATTTAGCGCTAAAACTTTTCTTGTATTTTTTCTCGCATCATATTTATTATATATACATTATAATATAAAAACTTATATATATAAGTATCGTATTTTCTGGGTTATTATTTTTGTTCGCCGGGACCGCTCTGATCTAATTTATATCCGGTGGCGGTGGTGGTGTGGCGGTAGCAGCCTGCAGAGTTCCTCCGGTCGTCGCGTATCATTTATAACAATTTTCTTTTGGCGCGCAATGGATGCGCACCCACATACAAACCCACACACACACACACATACATAAATAAGGGACGACGGTGAAATAACGAAGGGTGGATAAAAAATATATACACGTATTAATGTATAATATATACGCGTGTTATATAGTACAGTATGCGTCGTCGTCTTGTCCGGGGAGCGCGAAAAGAAACGTTTTACACGTCTCCGGAGATTATACGCGGGCACGGGGAAGGCCTATTATAGTACGAGCGCCGCAGTCATTTTTACGTTAAATATTTATGCAAAAGAAGTTATTAACTTTTTTTTTCTTGTATTTTTTTTTCGTCTCAGTCTTCTCCGTGGGTTTTTCTTTTTAATGCAACTCTAAACACGCCCACCGCGCCGCCGCCGCCGAGACCTATAATAGTCATCGCCGTCGCGCGTAAAATATTTATAAATAGGGACTTGCAGACCACTTCGTAGAGAAAAATGTACAAGTACCCGTTTATCGCAATATAATTGTTACTATCCCACCTCATAATATACCGCGGTGTAATAATATCGTCTTTGTTAAAACATTTCTTCGCCCTGCACACTAACATAATATCATATCACTTATATACTTATACATACGTATACATTATAATATACACACACACACACACACGTGAAGTGAAATAGTAATAATAACATAGTAATAACACACCGCCATATCGTCCGCGTGTTGGCGCGAGTTTTTCGCTTCCCCGCCGTCCGTCCGTCGACGTGCCGCTACGGTTCTCGGTGGAGGCGGAATTGATGGATGACGTTTTCGATCTGCCGCTGTCCGCGCCCGTTCGTATTATAACTTGCCGAAACATATTCCCGAAACGTTTAATAACAGTACGGCGCGCAAACGTGAAACAAATAAAAAACGACAACGCGGAAAATCTACCATCACGAGTCACGTGGACGGGTATAGCCGAGTGGGAGGGGAAAACGGGGGAAAAAATAATAAGAATATATATATGAAAAACGACTTTCACGTCTCACACGCCCACCCGCCACTCCACGCCGCGTTACGTATATACATATATAGTGCGCGGTGCCGTAATGAGAGAAGATGAGCCTCGAGAATCGAATAATATTATAATACGAGAATTGAACGAACGATTTTTTTTTATTTTCCGTTCACACCCTCCGTCACCGAGGTAGTCATTTCTTTATGATGTACACGACGACGCTTCTTGCTCTGGGTGTATACGCGTGTGCGGTGTGTGTCTTAAGGGGTTGCCAGATGCGACTTCCATTACGCCAATTTCTCTTTACTCGCGTGGGAGGGCGGAGGAGATGGTAAACGACGTACACTAACGACGCGAAATTTTTATAGTGTTGTCGTGCGCCGGCGGTGGTGTGTATAATAATATAAGGTGTGTTCGGTGGTCGGGGTTGGCGAGTGGAGCAGGGGAGGCTGGGGCGAGGAGATCCGGGAAACAATGTCGCTAAAACGTCAAACATTAAATTACATTTTTATTCGAATTTCTCGCAAACAACACTCTGGTGGGTTAAAAAAAGCACATTCTGTCGGAGTAAAAATAAAAAAAAAACTAAGCACAATCGTTACGTGTAGGAAAAAAAACTTTGTCAATAACGATAAGCTTTAAAGGCGAAATGACGCGCCGGTTTCCCCTCAACGACGAGAGATATCCTTTGCAATGTGCGCTGAAGCCATATATAGATCTGCGAGGCTCGTCATCGTATTAAAAACGGATTTCGGTTAAATCTCTGGGTTCAAAGTTTCAGCCTTATGTTCGGCACGGGATTGTCGTTTTATTTTCTAATACGACGAGACTTATGATCGAAAAATAAAAATTAACGGTCGTACATAATATTACAAAAACAACGATTCAGCCACGGTATACGTATACGAGTAGATATAGCCCGACATGGGTATATATATATAGATAAAATATTAAATTGTGTTCAAATTATACCATGGTACCTCTGCGTAATCGACCTCCGCACGTTAAGTCCAAATAATCCGGTATATACCGAATGTGATGTGCATTTAGCAGGCGGAAATTTTTATCCGGGACGATAGTGCAGTAAAATAAAAATCGGCGGCCAACGTTCGACGGGTTATTGAAACGCCGTCGATATAATACATTATAATATATATATAAAGGTGTGCAGCGGCTTCAATATCTGCATATAATGTTATCCCAGACACCCGGTGACCGTTGTGTATGTATATAGGTACCTATAATAAAATATTTTTGCCGATCAAAACAAACACCGCCGCAGAGGATACGCGTACGCAGACGGTGTGATGTATAAACGCGCTTATCATATATATATATATATATATTTATTATATAGGTACAACGATAATAATAATACTAATCAGCGGCGGCGGCGGCGGTGGTGGTAGTGATGGTGGCGGGATTATATCGCGGTTAATTACGCGGCATTAACGACTATATAGCAGACCGGCTTTTCGTATTGTTTTTGGGTGGCCGGGATTTCGGGTCCATTGTTCCGAAGGAATAACAATAACAATAACAATAGTAACACACACGCAGACGTTTTTGGTAAAGCTGGTCCAGTACACACACACATCGGGAGCGTAATAATTAGCAAAACCTCCGCACACAATAATGCCCCACAAATCTAGATATCACAGAGGTGGCGGCAGTAGCACCAGTTTATATATACACATTATACATATATTATTATTATTGTTACAATATAGTGGCGGGCTCATCACAGGCCGTCATCGCCGCCATCACAGAGTATTATCGGTCCAGTGTTTTAATCTA